AGAGCCCCTACAGAGAGTACGACAGGTCCTGAAGAGCCCCTACAGAGTACGACAGGTCCTGAAGAGCCCCTACACAGAGTACGACAGGTCCTGAAGAGCCCCTACAGAGAGTACGACAGGTCCTGAAGAGCCCCTACAGAACTTTGTTAATATTAATAGTTTTAACTTTAAACAACAACATAACCTAACCCATGTATCAAACATCTGCAGCTGCTGCATACTGCTTTCTTACAGCTGGGTGGTGTTTCAGGGACACGTGGCTCAGACTCTTATTGTGCTTCATCTTCTGACTCTCAGCTTCTTCTATCAAGTGGAACAGGTTCGATGTTCCCTCCGCTAGTTGGAACGACCCTCCGTCACATTTTGCAGCAACTGACTGAAACCTGCAGTTTAGCAGATCTTAGAAAGCCGAACCACTTCCACACCGCCAAATTAGTCTTTCCTCTCATCAGTGACGTCATCTGCTTTCTCTCCACTTGTGAAAGCTTGTTCAGTTGATACAACTCATTTTGAAGAGAAAACTTACAGCGCGTTGGAGATTAGCCTAGCCTGCTGCCGCTAACGCCTTCTGGACTCGAGCTCTGCGCAACATTTACGTCACCACACACTTATGTAGTTGTGTCACGACTTTTTCTGTTCAGGTTGAAACTGAGGCGGCCGCTTCAACCCAAACAGAAAAAGAAATGCGTCAGTGAAACGCTGTAATCATATTGAAAATGTGCGTAAAACTCATATCACTGTTATTGAATAAAAGTATATCGTGACATGTATCGATATCGAATTATTGTCCATCCCTTTACTTCAAGCTCAGGTTCTCTACCAGAGTCCTGCGAGCATGAGCGCTCTGCACAGTATCAGCTGTTCCTACGACCGCATTCCTGTTTTACCAGTTTTTCACCTAAAGTCAACCATCAGTGAAGCACAGTGGTGCACTGGTTCCCAACAGTGAAGCACAGTGGTGCACTGGTTCCCAACAGTGAAGCACAGTAGTGCACTGGTTCCCAACAGTGAAGCACAGTAGTGCACTGGTTCCCAACTGTGAAGCACAGTAGTGCACTGGTTCCCAACTGTGAAGCACAGTGGTGCACTGGTTCCCAACTGTGAAGCACAGTGGTGCACTGGTTCCCAACAGTGAAGCACAGTAGTGCACTGGTTCCCAACAGTGAAGCACAGTAGTGCACTGGTTCCCACCAGAGCATAACGGCCATGTTGTTTGCTAATTTAAAACAAAAATCAAATCACAACCATGAAGCTGGTGAAATCTTACAGCTGAAGTGTTTTTACCTTGTTTGCTGGGATTTTCAGCCACCCATGCAATAGTGATGCCTCCGATCTCAGAGTCACTGAATCTCAGCAGGAAGGTGCCATTTGGTTTAGACAGGAGCATGTCCTGTGCCTGTTGCTTGTTTACAAATCCAAGAATGGCCCTACAGACACACACACATACTTTAATACAGAAACTTTATTCACAGTTGTTAGGGACACAACCAACAGTTTTGTTCAAATAAAACTTGATAGAAATGAATGTTAAAATGACACTAAACAAACACAGTGAACACAAAAACCAATTGGCAAAGACAAGGCACCTTTTTATCACAGTTTTTGGAAGCACCCGTGCATGCTGGTTTATAATTTTATAGCTAACTAATTGAAACATACATCAAATGTGTTGGAACATGAATGTTTGGTTCATTACCCATCATTCCAGTGAGGTTTGAGATGTTTCTTCATGAGTTCCACCACTCCATCAAACCACTGCCAAAACGTGAAGCTGCGTCCAGGCAAGTTTTCCTGTAAATGTCACACAAACAGAACGTTACATTTGTAAACCAGAGTCTTGTTTATAAAATAATGTATATAAAATGATCTTGATAAAAAAAATAAAAATAAAAAAACCCTCATTTTGTAGCATAGCAGAAAAAATATTTATATCCTGTAAATTTTATTCAGGTGTTCAGTTGCATTACCTGCTACTATTTAATTCTTAACCAACAATTATCTTTCTTTTTATTTCCAAGACACAAATAACAGCTTTCAAGTTGCGTTTGTACAGATGTTACCAAGCAGCTATCCTCCTCCTCCATCTTAAGACATTTTGCTCATCATTTGTAGTTATTAAACAAATTAAAAAAATGTCAGTTTGTTCTTGTTTTCCATTGTTTTATATGGCACTTTGATTTATTGTTTTTTAATAAACTGTTAGTTTAATTGCTTTTATTGTTGTAGGTCAAATGGTCTGTCTAAACCAGGTCTCTCTTGAAAATGAGTCCTTGTGACTTAACAAGCCTACCTGTATAAATGAAGGTTAAACAAAATGAAGCAAACTCTTATTTTTCTTATATGGGGAAAAACAGAAAAGAAGCCTAGTAATCCTAAAAAACATCACCCACTGTTTTGAGCTAAAATCATCTTATCCTCAGAAGTGACTGAGGTGTAGCATTTTTATTTATTTAGACAACAAACAAAAAAAAAACTATTTGAAAAAAAAAGTGGTTTTGTTGTAAAAAATGAAAGACTCTTGACACGTGTGACTAACTTCAGGCAGGTCAAAAGATAAACTGGGATGGCCTTACCCGATTAAACTGGGCCCAGGTTATCGTCATGTTTTTGTAATCCTCAGGGTTGTTGCTACTGCTTGAAAAAGCTTTCTGTGCCAAAAACACCAGGTTATCCTCCGTCAGCCCACGTCCGCTGTGCATCTCTGCCTTGTACTTTGTATCCAGAGCATCGCATACCTGAGACCACAGCACCTTGTCTGGTACCACAAATGGCACTCTACCCTGATGAAAGATAAAAGAACGCACTAAATCAAAGTATAACCAAGTATTGCTGCTTGGCTAATACAGTAGTCCCTCCCTACTTCGCAGTTTCACTTTTGCGGACTCGCTCTATTGCGGTTTGTGGACGTACAGTTCGTCCATATATCGTATGCATTAGACAAAATATATATTTTTTTATTGTTTTTACACACAATTGTGGACTGTACAGTAATATCACTGTACAGAACTCATGTAGATGTGAAAAAGTTGATGACAAAAAAATAATTTGGACAGGTGCCGCCATTTTGTAGTTTTCTTTCTTTCAACCCCCAACAGTACTGTAATTGCTACTCATAATAATAATAATAACAATAATAACAACAACAACAACAACAACAACAACAACAACAACAACAACAACAA